AACCAATGCTGTAAAACATTTGTCAAAATGTTCAATGATTAGAATTCAAATAAAATTGTAGTGGAAGTTAAAAAATGTACAAGATATGTAAAAAAATAGAATAAAATCTATTAATTAATATTATGCAATAAAATACGTCATGCTGGTATAGTGTTGGTCTCTTCTGAATCATGAATATTATGTTGACTTTCATATTTATCAATTTCTTTCTTTATTGCGACAATTAATTCCTATAAAGAAAAAGAAAAAAATTATTATTATATAATAATAGAAACAAATTTTCAACAAAACTTTTTTAATTCATTTAATTCAACTTACTCCTTCTTTGATGGGTTTTGTTAAAAACGCGTCCATTCCAACATCAAGAGCCTTTTTAACATCACTACTAAAACTATTAGCTGTCAATGCCAATATTGGAATGTCTACACCTTTCTGTCTCAGTAATTTTGTGGCTTCATATCCATTCATAACTGGCGTAATGATGTCCATCAATATACAAGCATAGCCTCTCGTGTTCATTGTTGCCTCAACCATATCTATAGCTTCTTTGCCATTATTAGCAATATCCACAATGTAATTATTACGTACAAGCATTTTAGATGTTACCCGTTGGCATATAAGATTATCTTCAACAAGTAACACTTTTAATGTTCGTGGTGACGATTGTTCCACTTGACGAGTTTGTGATGTTGATGATGAAAGAGGTGCTATAGACGATGTAATATTTACATTACTGCTATCTATTGTGCTATTTTCCGTTTGAAGTGTTGTATTATGTGTTACATCAGAAGCCTTTGATAGTGGGGGGTGTGCAGCGTGTGATGATGACGGTGGCGTGAGTGATATATTTGGTGATAATATTGTTTGAGCTGGTGAGTTTTGAATGCTAATGTGTAAAGGTTGATTAGAATGTTCATTTATAACGTCAGAATGTTGTCTTGATGTTGTATTTTGCGTACTTAAAGATGTAGGTGATATAGGTGGCGTTACTGTAGATACATCATTATTTAATGTTGTAGATACTGATAATTGAGTGTTATCATGAGGAGACGGAGGACTAGATTTCGTCACTTCACGTAGGTTTTCGGTGTCACTCTGACTTTTGTCACCAGGATAATAAGTTATGATGGGGGGAGGTGTAGATGATATTGTATTATCAACAGAATTATTCGTTGATTCTTCATTAATTGAATATGATATTTTGTCATTCTTAGTTGTGTTATTTTGATGGGAAGAACTAGCTCTATCCAACCCAGTAGTATTAAACATAATAGACGCACGACGTTGAAAGAAACTCTCTTTAATTATACCGTCATCAGATTCTTCGCCATTAAATAAAGGTGGTCTCCGTTTTCTTCTAACTGTACTTTTATAAGGGCGGGCAGGTCGATTTGTTCTTGCTAATGACAAACTCTTTGAACCGCGAAGTTGCACTTTATTAATTTCACTAATTGAATCCGCTTCTAGAGAACAATCCATTTCGTCAACTGAATTAGTGCTAAATATGGTGTCTAAAGATCCGCGATTGAAATTATCTCGTGTTTCTATATCATCTGTTCGTATCCAAATGTCAAACCACACTCTACTTCCGGGTTGCCTTTTTTGAGATTTTTCAACATGAAGTTTCCCTCCCATAACTTTAACAATAGCTTGTGCTAATGCCATAGAGAGACCTTGTGCATGAAATCTAGAGCCTATCGATGAGTTTGTTTTAGAGTAAGGTTTAAATAATTCGGATATTTCATTGTCTGATGATAAACCTTCACTTTCATCCTTTACCGAAAAACGTAATAATACACCATGTGCACGATGAAACCGTAAAACTTGTATTTCTAATTCAATAATTCCACCTTCAGGTGCAACTTCGATCGATCGAGCTATCAATTTATTAATGACCTGTTCTATACGACGAGCATCTCCATATACATTATGTGGAATATCACTATGTATGATTGTTTTTAACTTGATTGTTTTATTTGCTGCTTCAACTGATTGAATCTTTGCCACATTTGATATTAAAATATGAAGATCAAATGGTTCACATTTTAATTCTATCTCATATGGATTGGGATTAGTTAAATGTGTAAGATCAAGAACGTCATTAACAATAAAACTTAAAAATTTTCCCGCAGACATAATGTAATCCAATTCTTCTTGCTCCTTTTCCTTGAATGAATTTTTTAACATTTCAGCAAAACCAAAGATAGCATGTATAGGGTTACGGATCTAATAAATATATTCGGTTAATAATATTGACTAATGATTAGCAATATATAAGAAAACAATTAAATATTATAGTATACCTCATGACATAAAAAGAAAAGAAACTCTGTTTTAGATTGATTGGCCATTTCAGCTTCCCTTTTAGCCTCAATGACAACTCTTTCATGTTCTTTTTTAAAACTTACGTCTCTAAACATTACTACTTGGGTAAAGTAATTTTTTTCCACAACTTGTTGTGAAAAATTTGCCTCAGCTTCAAAACAAGTTCCGTCTTTTCTTCGAGCCACAACGTCACGCATGCCAGGACGAACTGGTACTTGCATTGGATCATAATCTGAAATTTCCCGTTCTTCAGCCGGGGTTTCGACTACGGGAATCAGCAATTGATTTATGTGCATCTTGTTTTGAACTTTAATATCATCAGGAGAGTAACCTGTTAAACGAAGCGCATGTTTATTGGCACCAACTATCTCACCCTTGGCATTGAGTGCAACCAATGGATCAGCAATAGCTTCTAATACAGCTTTGCTGTCAGCTGTAATTGCTTTTAGTAAACTTTGAGTTCTACCCAGTTTTCGAGTTTGTATGCTAACCTTATCTCTTGCATTTAAATATTTTCGGAAGTACCTGGAAGTGAGAAAACCTAACAACCCAAAAAATAATGTAAAAAGTACCAAAGATACAGAAGGCATAGTTTTTGAAACTGTATGATTATATGCGTTTTCCGTTGGCGTGCATAGAAACGTCCAGCTACGATCCGCTATTTCAGCAGTACGTTCCACAACAAAATCGTCTTGATAGTTTTCGTTTGGTTGCGAAGAATCATAAATCGAAGAGTTATAACCACGATCAATTATTTTAACTGCTAAACCAACATCTTGGAATTGTTTCATGATCATTCCAAATGTATTAATAACATCATAAACTCCAATAACAAGTCCATCAATATCTCTATCCGGAGGCACCATATTTGGATCCGATAGGTTTTTAAAGAATGGAAAGAAGACAAGCACCCCATTGACTGAAGTATTAAAAACAAGTTGAACACTACTAGTAACAGAAATGTTTTTTGTTTTTCTTGCTATATCAATCGATCTCTGTCTTTCAGGTTGAGAATAGGTATCAAAACCAATGGCATTAATTGATTCAGGTCTCCACGGGGAAATATATTGAAGAGGAAGAGACTCTGTCGCACTAGAATTACGAGTTATTAGTTGTTGACCATTACTATCTAATTGTTTTATTATTATTACATTTTCTTTTTCCCAAGCCGAGCGATCAGCTGCTTTAACAAGTGGAGCAAAATTAACTGATCGAATATTCTATTGTTAAAAGAAAAAAGACATTGATTGTCAGATCAAATAAGATAATATTAATGAAATTAAGAGGAAGAGGAGGAGTCAGAGGGAATGTTCATATATTAACTATTTTAAAGTGTAATATAATTAAACAGTATCATACGTTTGCCTTAAAGAGACAGACAAACTTATATTATAAAATATTCAATTTTATGGATTAAACGACGAATATTTATATTTACATGCACTAATTCATGATGAAATATTCCCCTTCATTCTTTCTCTTAATTTATTTTATTGGTTTATTTGTTTTTATATGTATATATTTTTTTTAATTACCATGTATCTCATAGAAGAAAAGTTTCCATATTTGTTGACAAGCGAAACATTAACGTTTGGAGTAACAGACAAAAAAGCACAGAAATCCTTCGCAGTAGCCAAACTTCTCCAGAAACCGGATGCGATGGCATTTTTTCTTTCATCGCAATAGTATCCGACGTCCGTTCTATACCGTCTACGTTCTTGACCTAGTATCACGAAAAAAACGGATATGCCCATAATAATACCCAATAAAACTATAAATATAGGGATAACTATGGTGGATAAAGTTTGCGGAGAAGGTTTTAATCGATTTAAACATCCCCTTCTAATATCAGAGGTGCCTGAGTCGGCTCGATAATAAACATTTCTAGTACTTTTAGATATGTATGTACTTGAAGTTTCAGTATTATCGCGCATTTCAACTTCGGAATTATTTGTTGTATTATAAAAATTTACAACAAAACGATCCTCAAATCGCAATTCCTTTCCTTCAACATCATGATTCCCTTTAAAGTCGGAAATTTGATGTGTTTTTTCTGGAACCTCTGTAGCTGCAAAAGTAGTAAGAGTTGCAGAGTTCTTTTCTTCAGCGCTTTCCGAGTCTGTAGATCGAATAGAAAGTGAATGCCTGTTTGTTTGATCACTCATTGGATTTAAAACGGGAAAGATTCCGGTAACGTAAGGTAGAATACTTCTAGGAGAATAATTACTATTGGCGATATCTTTCACGAAAAACCAACGTTGAAATGGCATATATACAAAAATTCGGATATATTAATAAAAAGCATAGAAAGTTGTGACAATGAAAGACAGGCGAGGAGTGAGAACAAACGGGTGAATAGTCAGCATAAAAATTTGAGTTTATTATGACAAATAAGGTTAGTTCCATGGGTTTTTTTTTTTTGAGACTAAGTAGTGCAACAAAATATCCAAATGTAAAGAGGGAAGTCTGTAGAAATTTGCGCTTTGTAGGACAGGTTGGACAGACACAACTTTTTATATTTTCTATCCAATCGAAAATAAGGTTAGATGTTCATGCAAAATCATCCATAAAAATTCTAAATTTCATTTATCATCTACCGATCAACATGGCTGACAATTTAAGTAATTGTAAGTTTATTATGCAATTTTCTCTCAATTTCTTTGCATCAAAAAAAAATGGAATCTCAGTTTGCATACGATGTGTACAAACCTATAGATCCGAATAGTGTCGTTTTAAACCTCGAGGATTTATTTAAACAATTAGACACTTCAAATGGTAAGAATTTTTTTTACCTCCGATTGTGCTCAATTGACAGCGTCAAGATTATTGATATTTTGTTTCTTTATACTTTGTTTCTTTATTATGTACTTTTAGATCCCGATAATGAACTGATCCAATCTCTTCCTTCACTAATCGCTAGTCTCGAAAGTTGTAAGAAAATAATATCAAACCAGAACTCGACTTCAGAAAGTAAAACCGACGCTTGGTCTAAAGTATCGAAAATAGTGGAAAGGATTGCGAATTTTGCAAAAAATGGTAATATATTTTATTTTATTTATATTAAATTTATTAAATTTTAAAGTTATCTATTTTATTGTAATTTATATTTATAATTTTACACTATTCAAATAGAAATTTCACGCGATCCACTTGAAACCTCTGGCGTTGTAGAATTAATAGTTCAATTTATGCAACTTGATGATGACACCCAATCATATCATGCAGTCGATTATCAATGCCTTCGAGCGCTTGCAAATTTTTGTATTTACAGCGGTAAATAAAAAAATAAGAACAAAAGGGCTCATTTTTATTTATTATAAGTAAAACTAACGTATACCAATTTTTTCCAAAGATGTAAATCGTCAGAAAATTCTAGATTCAGGTGGTATAAATACTGTGCTTGTACATTTGCAAAAGAAGAAAGACCTAGAAACTATTCGTGGTGCTTGTGCTGTACTATTGAATGCAGGACTTCATTATGGTATTTTCTTGTAAGATTTGATGTCCATTGTGAACCACAAAAATTTTCATAAAAATAATATTAAATGTATTTGCTTTTTAATCAGAACGGATTAATTCTGAGATTATAAAATTGGATGGGATTAACACTCTTTCCAATCTTCTTGAACCGGAAAATCTTTTAAAAATATATGTTGAAAGTATTGACACAGCACGAATGACAGTTTACTTTGTCACGAGAGTATTTTTAAATTTAATAGGAGCCGGTTAGAATTTATTATATTTTATTTATTATTTATTGGATATTTACAGTATTATCGACACAAAATTGTTAAATTCATAGATGAAGGCAAATCGAAATGTGCAACTACCGAGGTAATTACCGCATTGACGCATCTACTTTCCTACAGTTCTTCAGATAATGCAACGAGTGAAGATGCAGATATTATTGAGAATGTGGTAGAAATTTTGGAAAGCATCGCTATAGATAATGGTGAGCACATAAACTTAATGTCGTAAAACCGTGAAATAACAATTATGGTCGTTATTTCGAAAATTAAATATTTTAAAAATAGCTTATTTGGTTCAAAAATAATGTGTACCTCATATAATAATGTGTAGATGCTCAAAATAATGTGCAGCTGTGCGTTATTTCGCGGTTTTACGGTAGATTGTTTCACGTAGATTCAAGTTAGATTGTATATATTTAACCTTCTCAATTTATTTATACAAGATGAAGTGCAACAAATTCTAGTTAAAGATAAATTATTTGGTAGTTTATTAGACTTCTTAGAATATTCAAAACCTCCAGAAGATTGTAGTCAACGAACTGATAAGAGTTATGGTGAATCTAAAGCTGCCGTGTTGAAAGTGATTGTCTCAACTACAATGAGTGGTAATTTTCTTTGCACTAGATTAGTTGATTAATCGTTAATAATATGAATTTTTTGTGTAATTATATATATATTTTATCTTAAGATAAAAATATGGATCCTTTGTTTGATGATACTATCATCTTACATCGTTTACTTAATTGGCTAAAATTGGGTCCAGAACGTGATGACCTTCAAATGTGTGCAGCATTGTCTTTGGGTAATCTCGCTAGAAGTGGTAATATTTCAATTTCCTATAAAATCTAATTTCAATTTTCGACTTTTTCCTATATTCATTAGAGTATTCTCTTTTCAATAATTTAACATCCAGACGTACATTGCATAAAATTGGTCCATGATATTCATATTGTAGAACCCCTTGCTAATGTCTTGAAAACTTCAAGTAATGTCAAAGTACAACACGCTGTTATTAGCGCGTTGAAGAACTTATCGATTGCAGGTAATATCTTAAATAATATCTATAAATCATATATATATGTATATGCATTTTCTTTTAGACTTTTAACCTACCTTATTACAATTTATTTAAACAGCTGGAAACAAGGACATTATTGGATCATGTGGGGTTATTGGAGCTACATCGCCATTGCTTGAAAAGGATACTGTCCAACCTGTCCAATTTGTTGTAGTTGGAATCTTTAAACATCTATCATCTCAGAATGGTTTGTTATACATTATCCTCTGCTTATAGTTCGTTGTATATATTGAGATTATATTAGTAAAATTTTAATTTCTATTAGTTAAAAATTCTGTGAGAATTATTCTTGGAGAAAATAAGGATGATGTAGAAAAACCACTTACACGTCTACTTAATTTAATTAATCGTACTGACGATTTACCCATTCGTAGCGAAGGAACACGCATACTTGTTAATCTTGTTAAAAACATGTGGGTTGAAAATCCTCATTCTACATTAGGTAAACCATCTGTTCCTATATCTCTATCGTTTATTTTAGAACTATAATCATAATAAATTTTTTCATAATATTTGGAATTGTGATAATTATAGAAGGAACATCTGTATCTTCATTACGTTCACAATTGAATAAAAAAGAGGTTGCCCAACCTCTTATTAACATGGTTATAGAGTCTAAATACCCAATTCTTCAAAATGAGGGTATAATTGCTTTAACATTGCTAATTATGGATGATTCTGCTGGAGATAGAGGTAATATTTTTTTATTCATAGTTTATAAATTTCGTAGTTATATATCTAACTTTATTAATACATCCTGTTAACTAGATTCTAATCCTGCCTTAAACCTATTATTGTCGACAAATAGTGAAGAAATAGATGCGAATACTACATCACAATCGATAAATCATTCAGTGGTTAATAATGAAATGATTCCTTCGAACTCATCATCAGTAGAAATACAACAGAAACAATCCTCAACATCACCCTTACTTAAAACATTGCTTGATATGATATTGATCGAACGAGATAAATACGCTGATGAAATTGAATGCAATGTATGCTTGTTACTCGAGAAATCAGTGAAAGCTTCAAATGGGACTCGTAAGTATTTTATTAATATCTCTATTGTTGATTTGCATATTTTAAACATTTTTTATTCTTAAAATTTCTTCTAAAAAATATGGTTCAATTCAGGAAAACAATATCTTAAAGAAAGAATTCTACCATCTTTAACTCCATTATTAGAACAAAATCAGTTGCCAGATAAATTAAAATCCGCAATAGAAAGGATTATAAAATGTTTTAATTAATTTATTGTTCATACTAAATAAATAAATTTACCATAATTTATATAATAACGTCACCTAAAAAGATCATTAGAGCTACGTAGAAATTCAAAACATGCAGGATTGAATTTTGTACCTAAACTCAAGCTATATTTGGATTTTCAAAAATGGAAATTTACAATAATATTATAAATGGATCTATTAAATACAGTATATATATATAATATATATATGTATACGTATACGTACAATACTTGCATTTCTTATTAAATTAGCTTAGCCACTCTGTGTATTAAAAATGCAGGAAAAGATTTTTTTGCGTTATATTAACATCTAATTAAATTTAATTTCGGAAATTTTTTTAACCAAAAATACACTAATAATGTCGAGCTGATTCATAAAACACTTGTATGATTGGCCGATGTCAATTAGTTGTCCGTGTGACTTTATATATGCGGTTTGAGAAACATGACGATCTAATAATAAAAAAATTTTCATTGAAAAAAAAGCATTTTCTAGCTTCGAAAGAACGCCAATACGTATTCACAATAGGAATAATCCCCCAACAATTGGTCACATGAAAATTATAATGTAACCAGCATTGTTTGGGCGCTCTAGATTAGTTTTCAAAAAAAAAAAAAAAGCCCGCGGACCGTGATAAATTCACTAAGCGTATAAATCCAAGAAACTAGAGAAACTGCAAATTTTAAAGTCAAAATTTTAATAGTATTAATGATGTATAAAGATTAGACTCGAGAAAAGAACTACAGTATTTAAGAACAATTATACAAACGACTCTTGATATAAGAAAATCGTCGGACTTTTGTCATAAAATTCTCAATTTAAAACTTATAAATCTTTCTTACATCAAGAGTTTCTTATGTCGAGGGTTACTTGTATAAACAAAAAGAATCAATACACCAACTAGGTTACTAGAGTTGCATCCAAAATACGGACTTGAGAGTGGTGCCATTTTGAGTAACCATAATGAGTTGAATAATTTTTCTGCAATGTTGGGATCTTTTAAAAGGGTCAAAAAATCCGTGAAATGGGTGGCGATTTATTCTTCATTTAAACAAAAACCCCCAAACCCCTACAAAACATCTACTTCGCACTTCTTTGTACCAAAAAAAACTGCTCTAAATAATTTACAGAGATTGGAGCCACCAAAATTTCTTAATCGTTCAACCGCACTAACTGCATCGGAAACTTTAAAACCCGATTAGAATAGATTAAAATCTAAGGATTCGAGTTTATCACCACCACCGATTTAAATAATGGAGTACGTTTTTTTAGGTAAAATACAGTCCGGGAATATACCAAATTTGGGGAATCGCTAAAGCAGAGTAACTATTGAACTGACGGTCCATTGGGGTCCGTCAGTTTAATTGATCATCCAATCAAACGCTATTTAGATTTAATATAACCGATAACAGATAACTGATTAGAAAAAAATTTTTTTACAAGTATTAAGGCGTTAGTTCTTGCACGTTTGATACTTTGCAATTACTGGCTTGAGGTTCTTTGTAAGAACACTATACTATATATAAAAAAAACACTCATAGCAAACTAGCAGGCTTTGGATGTTAATAAAAAAAAAAATAAAAATAAAAATAAAAAATAAATAAATAAATCTTAATCTCTGTAACAAAGACTCTATTCGGGTTAAATCTTGCAACCAGACGGCTTCTGGCTCTAAAAACCCCACAGCAAATAGCAGTACAATTGAGTTGGGCAACATGACATTATGATTATGTCAACTATTCAAGAATGGTTTTTTAATGTAAATAAAATTTTTAAGCTTTTCACTAAAGACTTTAATAAGCAGTAGGCTCTTGTTGATAATATATAAACAAAATTTAATAGATACTGTTACAGTACCATGGCCTTCTTAACAGCAGTACTATAACAACAATATGGTTACAAGGATCTTTTATAGATTTATAGCAGTGTCTAAGAGGTAAGTATAATTCCTTAGTTTGTAAGAAATTATATTCTTTTTTCTAAGCAGTTCGATAAAACAAGAGATAATAGTTTATATTTTAACAAAGATAACAAGCCTTGCATGTAGGAATTACCCTAAAGAAGAAATGTTATATACTTTTATTAATAAGAATAAAGAGGCTATTTGTTAGGTTTCTGTACCTAAGGAATCTTTTTACAAGAGGAATACTAAGTTAAGGATAGAGGAGAAGTGATTTGTATATACTGTCACTTAGAGAATTTAGCAGGGTTTATATATTCTTGGATTTAAGTGACAAAGTGACAAAGCAACTAAGCAACTAAGCGACTAAGTATTTAAGTGACTAAGTGACTAAGTGACTAAGCGACTAAGTAACACAGTAATGCACAGTAATTGGCACAGTAACTGGCACAGTAATGCACAGTAATCAGCACAGTAACTGGCATAGTAATGCACAGTAATCAGCACAGTAATTGGCACAGTAATGCACAGTAACTAAGTATTACATTATGTATAACAATATAAAATAATATACTAATAATAATAATTAAATAATAACTAAAAATAACTAATAATAAAATAAAATAAAATAATCGTTCTATAACATTTCTGTCCCCTTATAAAATTTGTTTCACAAATTTCAACTTGCAACTATTAAGGAGTCAATAATAATCACTATCGGTTAGCTTGATGAGCTGTGTTGCTATTAGTGTCTGTAACTGAGAAATAACTTCCTTTGAGCAGATTCTGAAAAGTTTATAAGTTCGATAGGCATCACGCCAAGTGTCTTTGGTTTTTCTTTTGGCTTGTTTTCTTTTGATAAAGTCTTTTATTATAGTTGGGTCTGCATGTTGGTTAAGAAGTTTTCCAAGATAGTAATATGTTTGAATCTTTTGATTAAGGTCTTTTCTAGTTCGACCATAAGTAGCAAGTTGGGTTAACATCTTATCTACTTGGTTTTCTAAGTTCTACCAATAAACGGATTGGTTAGGCTTTTAGTCATTGGCTGAATGGTTTGAGATACATCAGTTAGAAGGATAGTTATAGAGTCTTCTAAGTTTTCACTTTCTGATTCTACAGTCGAATTAAGATTGGTAGTGTCTTCTATTTCTGATTCTAAAGTTGGAATAGGATTAGTAGTATTTTCTATTTCTTCTGGTAATAGAAAATCATCAAGATTTACTTCTATTGATTGGTCAAGAAGCAGCATTAAATTAAAGTTTCTTGCAGCATCCAGAGGGTCTCATAGTAATATATTATATGATGCAATATTCAAATTGTATTGAGAGGCAGGATCTTGTTTCTATTTTAGGAGAAAGTTATTTAAAGTGACGAGAGTTTCTGGTTATGGAGTAGGTAATTCCATTTTTGGTTAAAAAATGTCTGTTTCTGTGTCTATATATATCTTTTTAATAATATAATTGTCTGTTTCACAAAATTTTGTGTTGTTTTCCCCCTTCCAATTAAATTTCTTCCAGAAATTACTGATTTTCAATCATTACAATTGGTTTCTATGTCTGTTTTTCATAATACTTTGCAAGTTTATCACTATTATAGTATTTTTGTAATACTTGTCCTACATTATTTTGAAGTTTATAGGCACCATTGTTTAATTTTTCTTGTATAATGAATGGTTCAAATCTTTTATCTTCAAATTTGGCTAATCTGGATTTTTCTATTTCTTTTCTTTGTATCTAAACTTTATCACTAATTCCATATTCTTCTGGTCTAATTTTATTATCAAAATATTCTTTCTGTTTCTGTTATGATCTTTCTGTATTCAATCGAGCATCATTTTGTGAGTATGGCATTTTGTCTATTAACTCATAGGCTCGTTGTAATA